TTGAGTTCTATGAGCTGCTCTAGCAAAATAATCAGATCTCAGAGCAGATCTTCAGAAGCACAGGGGACAACCTGGACTTGTGACTGGCATCTGAAGGGGATGGGGGCAGTCTTGCAGGACTGAGCCCTCAACCTGTGGGATCTGATGCCATCTCTAAGTAGACAGTCTCAGAACTGAGTTAAATTTGTGGGACCACTGGTCAGTATCCTTGGAGAATCGAGTTACCTGCTTGGTGGTGTGGGGAAAACACACACGTCGGAGTGGCCAGCCGTCCAGATTTGCCCAGATTGCATGGTTTCCCGGGATAAGAGACTTTCAGGGTTAACACCGGGACATCCCAGACAAACCAGGATAGTTGGTCTCTGGGGCCTGGCTGTAGACTGTGCTCCCAGGTCATTCTGACGCCCTCCCGTCTCGCCCCACGCCATGGTTGCCACCTGCGGCCCTGGTCAGCGACCTGCTTGTGTTGGGACCTCAGCGCTGAGTTCTGGATCTGGGGTTGTGTGCTGGCTGTGGCCCAGCTCAGTATCGTTTACCACCCAAACCTCTGAGAGCAGCACTTGCTCCCCGACCTAGCCACCCCCAGCGAGAGGCAGAGGCAGGGTTAGGGCCCACCTGACCCGTGGGGTTAGCTGCGTCCGCATTCCCAGATAGGTCGTGTGGACGCTGTGGCTACCCGGTGACGAGAAACTGCTGAAACACACGGATGGTGCACGATGGAGGTTTCATTAAAAAGGGATAAAACAAAACTCAGTAAATGTTAGTTCACTGAAATATTCCAGAAACAAACGTTGGTTTGCTTAGGTAAATGATGTAAGATTTTGACCCTAATTGAGTCTCCAAACCTGTCTTTAGATCAGGAAGATGAAGGAGAACACTACCAGAGCTGGAGGGTGGATTTTCGGTCGACAGGCCTGCGTGGTCAACCAGAGCGAGGGAGGCACCCAAGCTGGAGGTTTGGGGACAGAGGGGGTGCAGGGCGTCATGAGAGAATTTCACCCACGGTTGTGAGAAAGGGAACTATGGTTACCACTGATTGTGTAGACATGGATGCATAGGAAAGGAACTGGCGGTGGATGCCCACCAATGGGACCCAGAGGAAGGAGAGCAGTTCAGGGGAAAGGTGCTGGACTTCGCTCCGAAGTGCCCGTGTGACACTGCGTGAAGGAGTCTGCAAGGGTTTGGGACTGGAGTGGAGAGTGGTGACCTTGGCTGCGCAGACCACGTGAGGATGGGCTTACCTGCAAGGGGGTTATCAAGGGAAGGGTCGAGACCACGAACGTGCAGAGTCACCACCATTTATGGGGTGGGAGACTAGGATGTCTGAAAGTGGTTCCATATTGTTCATTTGGGTATCCACACTGTGGATAGATAAAATAAAGCCTGACTCTTTTCCTAGGCATGGAAGCCTGTGGCACCATTAATAGGGTAAAAAGTTCACCTTTGGCTATTCTGTGTCAGATATGCTTGTTTATGGATAGGGAGAGTCCCAGGAGTGAGGAATGAGTGACGCTAGGAGATTGTAGAGTGATGGGACCTGGCGGGACGTGCACGTTGGCCTTTCCCACACTCCCGGCTTGACGAGGGGCAGGCATGAGGCCTGGGAGGAGGACGACTCATGGCCTTAGGTGGGATGAGGAAATGCACTGGGGCCCCCAAGATACATAGCGAAGCAGGAAAGGGTGATGATGTCAGAGCAGCTCCGAGCTGGGCCAGGCAGCAGACCAACACACTGAGGTTGGCCCTGAGTGGGAAAGAAAGCTTCCTCTCTACGGAAAGAGGAAGGCAGAAGGATCATCCAGCATGAGAAATATGAGCATTGGAAGATTCCCGGGTGAGGTACTCAGTTTTACTCCTTTAAATCTTGCTCTAAGTTCTGTGCCATGTGCTTTTCCGTCCCAGCACGTGTCGGTTACGATTTTATACTGGCTGTGTGGTTACTCTGTGTGCCTCCAGGAGGGCAGGGGTGGGTCTGTTTCTGTCGAGGTTTGCTTCGCAGTGAATGGCACGGAGCAGTACTGCACTCCGTGAGTGCTCTCTGAATGATGGATGCTTTCTAATCCAGAGTTATGCTTGGATTTTAATAAGGAATTATGTAGATTTAGGAAAAAAAATAAGGGCAAACATCATCTGGAAGTGTTTCTGTACGTGAACATAGACTCACAAACAGGCACCCTACATCCACATCTGCCCTCCTGTCTCAGTCTGTGTGATATGGAGACGAGGGAAAGAGCAAGCACGGGTGTGGGTGTGGAGGATGTTCAAGTATTAGAATCCAGCCCTTTCCCTGGGGACCCCAGATCCTCCCTGCTCTGTGGGGCTCTCACCGGCCACCTGAAGACCCTGGCCCACACCATGTCTGCTGAGACTGTGCCGATAGGTGGGCACTCGCACGTCTCGGTTACCGTGCTTGGATACCACCACAAACTGTCATTACATGAGACCCGGGCTGGTTCCCTCAGCCGTGTGGTCCTGGATCAGCTGTGACTTCCTGGTCATCCCATGAGACAGCCCCTGAAGAGTGCACTTACTTTAAAACTCTCTTCTTGGCTTGGGTTCACCATCCCATTCCCCCAAGAGCTGTGTAGACAGCTGGAGAGGAGGTGAGAGACGCCCATTTCCCAGCTTGCCTCTGCAGCAGGCTCCCCTTCACAGGGCTGCCCCACGTCCTCTGAAAGCTGCCTGGTGGGGGGCAGGGACTGGGCTGGAGAGGGCTATGTGTGCACAGCCAACAGGTGAGGAAGGAGAAGAGAGAGCCCCGCACCACCATCCACAGTCGACCCTCCGAGTGTGTAGAGAGTGGGCAGGGGGCACAGAACACAGCTTCCATGGACAGCCTCCACGAGAGTTTTATTAAGTTTTTTCTATACACTTGATTGGGGAACAGAGTAAACAATGGGATGTAATCTTATACTCTGATAAGTTCAAATAGAAATAAAATCGCACCACCTTTAATCAGACGCCATCCTGATTTTTACATAAGAAAACACATATCTAACCTTTTTCCTTTTTCAACCTATTCCTTTTTCAAGTCTCTATGAAAAGGTTGTACATATCAGAAGGGGGAGGCCAACCCCTAGTCACCTGGCCATATCTGTCATTTTGAGGGCAGGAACAAAACATAGTGGATTTTTGGTTAATAGATGAAATTGTCAAGCGTCATGAGCCATGTGACAGTGTAGGTCACATTCAGCCTGATGGAGGGGACATGGTTTGGGGTAGTCCAATCTGGGCTGTTCAGATGGCCTTGTCTTCACCAAGCGTCCCTAAGTCTCAGCAAACTTAGGGTTCATGACTGTCGTGGTGGCGCTCTTGAAAAGGGGGTTATCCTGGTGAGAAAAGCAAACAGGACCATCAGTGCAGGGGAGGAGAGCTGGGAGAGGGGTGACCTTCCCTCGGCTTCTGGCCCTGCTGGCAGAGCTAGCCCACAGCGGTGGACACCCTGAGGATGAGCTCCAGGGGAGTGGGGGTGGGCAGGTATGCAGCCTCGGGTGGATGTCCCCAGTCTCCTGAGGGTAAAGAAGCTGGTCCCACACAGAGGGGCCCATCCTCCCGCCCCTGGGTAACTCACATTGTTCCACTGGGACTTGAACTTCTCCTTCTTGAAGCATTTGCACTCTCCGAGGTCGCTTGGGTGTGACAAGGCTATCCAAATGACCAGCAGGAGGATGCCGATCAGCTGGACTCTTATTGCAGTGCCCCCTATGATGGCGGCGATGTTGGGGACCTCCATGCCCTCTAAGGTCACACACTCTAAGGTAAGGAGGAAGCACACGCACACCAAGCGTCACGCCCTCCGCAGCTCACTAAGCCCCGTGTGTGCCCCATCCCAGGTCACTGCACAGTGCATAGGGTTCCACTGCTGGACTCACGGTGACAGGTAGGTGAGTGAACTGGCCAGGGTGGGGGCAGAGCTGGGGACAAGGCCAGTCCTCGTGGTTCCAAGTGATATGTAAAGGCCCCTTGTTTACAGAGAATGTGGGGCCCAGGTTGCCAGGTAACCAGGGCAGAGCCTGGATGAGACACGGGCTGTGTACAGGCTGTGAGCTCCAGGCCACATGGAGGGCCTGGGCCCCACCCCAGGAGGGGTTCCCATTGCTGGGAAGGGGAGCTGGGAGCAGGTCTCAGTCCTGCAAGGGCCCCAGTGGACTGCTGGCTCATGCCTGGTGTGGTCACTCCAGTGGCTGGGCCCCCCAGCCCTGTGCTCCTGACCCCTCAGCCTCTCTGAGGGGGAAAGGGTGGCTGTTTGGAGAGTTTGTGCGCTCCACACGCTCCCAGGCACTGCCCGTGTAAAGCCCTTACTCCCCTCTCATCGTGGGTCTGTTTACCCTAAGTCCCTGCCAGCCACACATGCTTTGTCATTGTTACGCAGTGAAGCTCCTGGAAACTGTCCCAGCCCCTTCCCAGCTGTTGGGGGCCTGTGGATCCTCTATCTGTCCCCCGTCCTCCTGATCCCTTCCCCGTGTTCCATCCAAGGGCAGGCTCTGTCCATGCTGCCCCCACAACCCCACCCCAGCCCACCCCCACCCATCTCTACTCTTAAGTGTCTGGACCTTGAAGCAGCCCCTCACAGGTCTGTGTCCACCTGGCCCCTCTCGGCTCTGCATCTGGCTTTTGAAAACACAGTTCAGATGTGTGGCTTGCTCTTCTGAAAACCTGCTAACAGTTCCTGGTATGTTTGGAAAGAGCCCTGAATGCCCACAGAACTCACAGGGCCCTGTAATGACAAGCACTGGGTGCCTCTGACTGCACACCCTAGTCCCTGCTCTCTGGACACTCTTAGCCTCTGGTCTCAGCTGCAATGTCTCCTCCTCCAAGAAGCCTTCCGACCTCTGACCTCAGGGACCACCCCCACCTGCCGTCATCTTTGCACCTCATGACCCCAGCCGCAGCCTCCTGCTATCTTGGGCACCAGTGTTCTGACTTGTTGGGGAAGCGTGCCTCTGCCCCTTGAAACATGATCCTGTGAAGACAGGATCGCGTCTCCATGTCCTTGACCATTACAGGGCCCCATATGGATCTGGAACCCAGGGGACAGACAGGCTCACAGCATTTGGGAAACCCCAGTGCCTGGGCTCCTTGGCCCCAGGATTCCCTCTCCAGGGCTGAGTTGTGAGCATGAGGATTTTCAAAAGCCCGTGGGTGATCCTGGTGCCGCCGAGCTCTTGGGACCTGGGACTTATGAAATGAAGGAGAGAAACCTCAACAGATTGGAGGCAGGAAAGGCTGCAGGGGGAGCTCTCACACTCATCCTCAATTACGCCAAACAGGAAGAGACATAACCCTGCATCTCCCACAGGAAGTACAACTACTGTACTACTGAAGGAAGACGTCTCTCCCCACCGGGCAACAGCTCAGCCAGTGAGCAACACCACAGCTCAGCCAATCAGGAGTGCCACAGCGCAGCCAATGAGAAGCCATTGCCGCCCTGAACATTACTTGCCCCCATTGGACTTTCCTTTAGAACAGCACCCCTCCCCCCACTCTCCCTTTTCTCTATAAAAGCAGCCCCCTCATTTGTTCTCTGGATTTGCCTGTGGGTCGTCACAGCATGCACATACTGAACTGCAATTCTTTGGGATATACCCAAATAAACCCATTTTGAGGGTAAAAGAACGGGCGAATTTACTTCAAGTCTTAATCAACCATCAGTGGGAGATGAGCAGCCCGGGGCCGTGTGGGCGCTCAGTGGGGTCCCGTCCCGTTGGGAGCAGCACTGTTGCTAGGGGACAAGCCATCCCTACCCCTCAGCACCTCGAGGAGAGGTCAGAGATGTGAGGGAGAGGGCCAGGACAGGAGGACCATGGTCCTGGACACTCTCCTGACCCTTCCAGGCCTGCCTTCCCACGTGGAGAGAGACCCTCGTCTCCGGAGGCCCCGTGACTGGAGCTCTGGCCTCCATGTCCTGCCGGGCAGGGCCTCACCTCGCCTCTCGTCCACGTGGATGCTGTAGCTGTCTCTCCCGTCACGCTGCAGCAGTGTGTAGGTCATCCAGCAGCCCTCCGAGTCCTGCTCCTTGCATGTCTTACCCAACCCAGGGGGTCTGTCCAGTAGCCTCAGGTTCTTACACTCCAAACTGCAGGTCTTCTCCAAGGGCCCCTTGTCGAATTTCAGGCACTCGGCACAGGAGCTGCGGCGGAGACACTGCGTGAGCGCGTGTGCAGGAGGGTGTGCACACAAGCAGGAGGGTCTGGGGCTATGGGAAGTACGTGAGGGGGTGAAAAGGTATGTGTGAGAGGAAGTGAGGGGGTGTGAGAGAAGGTGAAGATGTCTGAGGGTTTAAGATTGTGTCAGGGGTTGGGAGAGGCTGTGAGGCTGTGTGAGGGGATGTGAGAGGATCTGACAGGGTGTGAGAAGGGGTGTGATGGTGTGAGCATGTGACAGGGTGAGAGGGTGTGTGTGAGGGGTGTGAGAGTGTATCCAAGGATATATGAGAGGGTGTGGGGGTGTGAGAAGGGTGGCGGGAGTGAGAAGGGGTGGCAGGGCCCGGATCTGGGCACCGTGTGGAGCTCCCCTGGTCGGGACAGGAGTGGTCGGGGCGGGGCTGTGGGGACGGGGCAGAGGTGCCTGGGGGAGTGAGGAAGGGTGGATTCACTGGGACCTGGAAGCCCGATGGGTGGGGCCCCAGGCTGGCCCAGGACACCTGGCCCTGAAGGAGGCCACAGGGGTGCAAAGGGAGGCGGTCCGCCTGTCCAGGCCGAAGCATTCCTGGGGTGACAGCCACGCTGTACCGAGCTGAGCACTCACGCATAGCCGCCGCAGGGTGACGGGCAGCCCAGGCACTCCTCGCACAGGGGCGGCTGGTAGTTGGCGTCGCACTCGCACACGTTGCAGCGGCACCGGCCACGGCCGCTGCACTCGACCCCCCGCCGGTTCAGGCAGCCTTCAGTGGACTTTGGGCACTGGCATGCCGAGCCCTCAAAGCCCTCCCGGCACTGGCACTGGCCACATTTGCAGCTTCCCCGCCCTGGAAGACAGTGGGGCCACCACAGACTCACCCTTGTCCCCCCAGACCACCGACCTGGCCCTGTGCCCACCAGGACTGCAGCCAGGATCTACTTCTGCCACCCCCTGCAGCTGAGCAAGGCCCCCTCAGTCTGTGTGCCTGCCTGTCTGTCCCCAACATCCCATCTGTCCCCGCACACTCACTCTCGCCCCCACAGACTTGGCCGTCGAAGCGCTCGCAGTTGACATTGTCGCACTCGCAGAACTGCCCGAAGATCTCCTTGTTGGGCACGTCGCTCTTGTGGCAAATGCACTGCCCGCACACGCAGTCCCCCAGCCCCGAGCAGACGAGGGAGTTGTAGTCCTTCCGACAGCCTCCTTCCAGCTCCTGGCTGCTCCGGCCCTGCGTCTGGCACTCACAGTTCTTCCCAATGTAGCCGGCATCGCACCTGGGGCAGGAGGGTGCAACGTCAGGGCCCCTTCTGAGGACGATGCAGGCCAGCCGCCCCTTCCTCCAGGACCCCAGGCCCTTGGCTGAAAACACCGCTCCTGCAGTCTCGCTGCCCCGTGGGGTGGGGTGTGGCCCTGTGCCCATCTCACCTGCAGATACCGCATTCCATGGAGCCCTGGCCCCGGCACAGGCTGCGGTCCCGGCTCGCGCCCCGGCATTGACACTCGCACTGGGGCAGGACCTGCACGGTCACCGTGTCCCAGAAGCCCAGCGCCCGGATGACAAACGACTGCTCCTGGACGCACTCGGCGGCCGTGACCTTCACCTGGAAGGTGATCTGTGGCGGGGAAGGGCAGGGCTCAGGTGAGGCCGGGACACCAGGGTCACGACCCTCCTCCCATCTCCTTGCCCAGCAGCCTGGACACAGATGCCCCGGGGCTAGCGGGGTGAGAGTGTGCCTCCTCGGCTCCCGGGTTGGGGGGACACCAGCCTCTGCAGGTGACCTGGGTGGGAGCAGATTGAGGTGGGGTAAGGGGGAGAACACGGAACATTCCAGGTTTCTCCAGGACTTGGGCTTGAGATGAGAGAAGAGAAAATGAGGGAGAGGTGGAAACTCAGAGGCTGCGATGCAGGAACACGGCAGCAGCAGGCCCTGCAGAGCTCTGCAGAGCCCACGGTGCTCCCTGCACCACCATCTTTGGGCGTGGACTCAGGCTGGGGTCTTTACAGTACTTTTTGTCATACATGGCTTAAAAGGGATTTGAAAGTGACTTTGTGAAGGACATGTACTTTGTCCTTAACCAGCATGTCAAGGTACCAGCTTCCCACAGGAAGTCCTAGGATCTGGATATGGAGTTGTGTCTGGATATAGAGAGGACCCTGAATAAAGGGTCAAGATCCTGCCCAGGAGGAATCAAGTGGGACAGAGCAGGGTCCCCGCCCCCCACACCTCACACCTGAAGCAGCTGCCAGTTCTGAGCTCCGGGGAGCGCTGGTCTCAAGAGCAAACCACACCCCGTGTCAGTGTAAGTGATCTGCACAGGTGCATTAGGATAGAGCAGAGATATCAGGAAAGTGTGTAAGAAGCAACCAGCCACATAAGGTGGAATGGAGTCCCATGTGGATCACCTGGTGTGAAGGGAAGACAGTCCGGTACAAATTCACAGGCGACATTTAGTAAGTAACGTATTTGAGGGAATTCCAGTGTTGTATTTAAAAATGCAATCAAAGCAAGTATTTTGCTGAATATTAGGTCACAGCCAGCGAAAGGAAAAATGTAACTGTTGTGGTCATAATAAATTTAAACTATTAGGAGAAAAACTCAGTGCCTATTTCTAATCCTCTCTGGGGCCCATGCTTTAATGTCTTTGTCAAAAAACGTTAACAAAGCACAAAAATCAGACAAACCAACTGAAACCAGATGTGTAGTGTGCAGAAGCAAGGCCCTTCTTTGCAGGGACGCGCTATGTCCAGCGTCTGCCCGCAGGGGGCGCTGCCATCCTCACCGTGGTTCTGTCTACCCCAGGGAGTCTTGTGTTGATAACTAGGACGCCCTGTGCCAAGGAGAGCCCACTGCCCGCTCCTCCTCACCAGTAAGACGACAGCTCACACAGGGAACATTGGCCACCTCCCAGAGGATTTGAAAGGAAGGGAACTGGACCAGTGTTGGACATTTGCTTATGCCCCTTACTGTCCCCGCACAAGCCTGTCTGCCTGCACTTCCTTCTAGCTGTCACTGGGACAGAACTTTCCAGAAGGTCAGGATGGAACCTTACCGGGATCTTGATCTGGACGCCATCACAGTCCCCTCTGGGCTGGTTCTCGTAGGATACTGTGTTACTGCAGAAGGAGTCGTAGGTGACTCTCAGGGTGTCAGGGAGGGTACTGTGATCCAGAAACACCCTGGAGGAGAGTTTCTGTGGGCAGAGAGTGGCCGCCAACAATTAGGGAGGATCCTCCCGCTGTTTCCTGGCCCTTCCTGGCCGATGACTTGCACATCTCTCTGTCATCACCCTCCCTTCACCCACAGGCCCACTGAGCTGGGTAGGGCCCAGATCCTGTGCCCCGTGTAGGTGGGGTTACCAATGCCACACCCTCCCAAGACAGGCCACTAAAGGAACTGACATGGAGACAGATCACAGCCCCATGAGAATGGGGGCTTGACCCTCCTTCTCACCACTGACTCCCCAGTGCCTGGCACAGGGTAGGAGCTGGAGGAACTGTGTGAGTGAATGAGAGAGAGGGAGACAGACAGACAAAGGGAGAGACAGACAGATATAGAGACACAGAGAGGGAGAGACAGAGAGAGGTGGACAAACACAGAGACAGAGAGAGAGACAGAGAGGTAAACGAGCCAATGATGGCGGCACCATCGGTGCAGAGGCAGAAACCCCACAGGCAGCGGCTGGAGATCAGGAGGGCCTGCTTGGGCGCCGAGGGCTCTAAGTGGGTGCAGAAGGAAAGGGAGCCCCTCAACAGGCTCTAACTTAATCAGTGGCATCAACGTTTATCCAGTGCCCTGGGCTGTGCCTGGTGAAGCCACTAGGACCTTGGGCCTGGAAGGGGCCCTGGCACTGGTGGTTCCGGGAAGGCACTGGTGAGGGTCTGGGGTGACACATACCATGCCATCAACCAGAGAGGACGCAGCTGCCCTGTGGGAAGTGCAGGGTCAGTTTGTCCAGAAGGCCTGAGGGTGGCATAACAGGCAGGGGGCTCTGTTCTCCAGACCACCCTTCTGTTGACCTGCAGCAGGGAGGGTGTCTTTGCTGACCCCCCAGGGCCCCCAGCCGAGGCCCCGGGGACTCACGTTGTAGGCATCCTTAATGAGCTGGACCACGTTGCTGGAATCCTCTGACAGCTCCCCAACCGCCGACTTGGGGATGATCTCGGTGAACTTCTGTTGGGCAAGACCAGGTGGTCACCGCTAGACCCGGGGCCACAGAAACATCAGTGCCCCTCCGGTTTTGTAACACCCCAGGGGGTTTCCCTCTCCCTTGCACAATGGCTCACACAATTTCTCACCAATTTCTGACTGTGTTTAGTTAAGTCAGCATGAGGTCAGTGGTGTGCTGGTAAAAGTTAACAACTGGCTCTTGGGAAGAGAAAAGCCCTGAGTTGTAGCCCATTTCCTTGGTAAAGACTCCACCTCGGTGGATTTCCAGTGTGACGTCAGTGAAGGCAGAGCTGGGAAGATGTGCCTCGCCACCACTCGGTAGCGTTTCCAACACACAGATGTGACAGGCACAAACCCCCGGGGGCACAGGTAATCAAAAAATGTGCCAAAACGTGCAGGAAAGGATGAGCTCTGAGCTCTTTAAGGACTTGATATAATTGAATTTTAATAATGACTGTGCTAAGCGGTAGTGTGACAGTCTGCTCTGGCAGGCTGGGCCAGCGGTCCACTGATGCCCCAGGGTGGGCAGGCCGGAGTGCCTGTAATGCAGACAGACCTCGGGCAGCCTCCAGGAACCTTTGTGTCCTCCCTCCCCTCACACAAGCCTTAGCTGAGTTCAAGGGTCACGTCATCTTTCACAGAAGATTGCACTATCACTTTTTCGTACAGAACTGATGGTTGGGTCGCTTCCTGCGCGAGAGCCCTTCCGTGACTCCCCAGAGTGGAGTCCAGTCACCTCCACAGGGCTCAGAGGGACCATCACAGCCTGGCCACCAACCCCCTCCAGCCTCCACTGCCCACTCACCTCGGTCCCAGCCTCGATACAGGCCCTGTGCTCAGGGAGGCTGGGGTGTTCCATGGCCTGTCCTGGCCACCTGCTCTCCACTCGGTGCAGAAACACGCACCGAGGCGGGTCCAGCGTCTGCTGTCCCTACAGGCTATGGGTCTCCTTGACACCCCTCCCCCAGGAGCCCTGTGACAGGGAGTCAGGGAACTAAGGCTCAGAAAGTCCTGTGACCTGCCCAGAGCATTGTCCATGCTAGTGGGTACAGGGTTTGGGGTTCAAGTCCACTGCCTCCAGCTTCTCCACTGTCACCAAGCTGTCCTCTGGAACACAACTCCTGCTGCTAATAGCAACTTACTGGGCCCTGGGGCCAGCCAGGTGGCCTAGTGGTTAAGTTTGGCCTACTCCACTTTGGCGGCCTGGGTTCAGTTCACAAGCTATACCACTTGTCTATGAGTGGCCATAGTCAGGACACTAGTCAGGACACTGCTTTGTAGTGGCCACAAAGTAGAGGAAGATTGGCAACAGATGTTAGCTCAGGGAGAATCTTCCTCAGCAAAACAAAAATTACTGGGACGTGCCGTGACCCCATGAGGAGGGCACCGTCCTGTCCCATAATATAGGCAAGGACACGGTGGCTGTGAGGTCCTGACCTGATAGTGCTCACGAAGCTAATGCGGGCTGGTGGTCCGTGGCCCTGCTGCACCTGGCCCCTGCTGAGTGGAGCCACTGTCACTGTGGCTGGGCAAGCTGCCAGCGCCCGCCCCGGCGGGTCTCCTGAACACTGCCCCCTCCCCCTCCTCTGTGTCCCCCGCAGGGTCCTGTCCCCACTCTGGGGTCCCGGAACACCACGGCAGGAACTGCTGGTCTCACCGGTGGCCCCCAGCAGGCGCCCCACAGGCAGAGGCAGCAGCAGGTCCCCAGCCCGCAGCAGAGAGGTGGACGGGACGTGGGGCCGTGAGGGGCCAGGAGGCTCCCACAGCCACAGAGCAAGGAGGAGGCCGCCCAGCTAAAGTGCAGCCCATGAGGACACACAAACACAGCACGTAAGACACAAACAACCGAGACCGAAAAGAGCGAAGAAGAATGGAAGAGAAACTGCTGTGGGGACAGAAGCAAGCTCCCTCCAGAGTGTCACGCTCTGGAAGAATTTAATAAGAACAGTAAGCCAGTAACGTCAGGACAGAGCCGGGGCTGCTGAGGCAGAGAAGGAGGAAGTGCTGTCAGTGGTAAAGCATTGGTTTCCGTGCGGAGACAGCCGCTGCGGAGCCTGGGCTCCTGGTTACGCGGGTGTGCCGCCTCGAGAAATGCCCAGAGTGTCGCTCGAGGCTGGTGAAGCCTCCTGTGTATTCTCATAGTGCGTGAAGAGTGCTCACATTCACACGTACGTGGCCGTAAAGAAGAAAGTTTCCCTAAAGTGAAGCGCGGGATCTGCCAACCCAAAGACGTGCTGTGTTGTGGCAAAAACGGAAACGTCACAGCTAAGACGACACACGCTGTTAATGTGACTGAGTGTCACGGACAAACACTCCTTCTTTCATCCACATAAATGTCCTGTGGCCCAAAGAGGCCTCGGGCTCCTCACCTGCAGTGTTCACGCCTGAAACCCGTGGCCGCCACCAGGCCACCTGTCCACCCGCCCAGGCCGTGGAAGCAGAACTCAGCCTGTGGCAACATTGGATTTTGTCATCGTTCAGCTGAAACGCCCCCGTCCCCCATGCTGCTCAAGACCCTGACTCCACTTACCTCGTAGGTTCTCACCATTCTCCTAGTCACAGCGAAGATGAGCTGGATGTTGTTTTCAGCCAGTTTGTGGGCCAGCTGGGCCACCGACGGGTAGTCCTGGAGAGGAGACACCTGGTCAGACAGCCCTGGAGGCTGGGGACGAGCCGTCCAGGCCACCTGTCTGCTCCTGCCCGACAGAAGCGACTGTCCAGAGCCCAGATCCACCCATGGGGCCCCTTGAGCACTGTTTACAAATGCATAAAAGAATAGGGTTACGAGGGAAACAAATGATATTGAAACACAATAAAGTATCAGAGGGAGTGACTGCTTCTTGATTGGTGCCCTGAAAAGGAAATCTAGTGGCGAGTGACCCCTCCCAGACGTTCAGAGTGGACATGAGAGTCAACAGTATTCTGAGAGGTCCCCACCTGTGGGGCGCTGGACAGATCCCTCTCTCCTACTGGGGGCAGATCTCAGACATGGCCCCAGCACCACAACTGTTTTCATATTTGGCAATGTTTTCATACTTGAAGGACACGCTCAGCTGCAGGCAGAGGTTCATAGAACCTCCAGTACCACATTTTCCTGTCCAGGTCGTGGATCCCATGTTATCCACCCACACCCCAGAGTCTGTGTGCCCCGGGTGAGAACCCTGGGTGGTACCATCTCTACTGTCCTGTGTGGCACCTGGAGTTTGCGATTCCAGGGTGCAGAGCATCATTTCCCCACAGGGGAGGGCAAACTCCTGGGAGAGGTGGTGTCTGAGCTCTTAATACTGTGCGCTTAATACTGCACCCTCCACCAGGAGGGAGGAGACCCCTCACACAACAAGCCTGTCCTCGCCCTGAGTCTGGGGCCCCTCCCCGCACCCGTGGACTCCCACCTGCGCTCTGCCTTTCGGGCTGAGAGGTGCCACATAGGCAGGGACGTGGAGGGAGCTGGACTACCCAGGGGTGCCTGCATCCCCGCCCCTGCACTGGGGGAGTCCCGGAGACGAGACGGGCTTTTGAGAGGGTGAGATGATGCCCCAGGGATGGGGACCCGAAGCCCATGGTGAGTTTGGGGAAGGCAGGGGGCTCCAGTTACTTCACAGGCCCAGAGCAGGGGAGTGGCTCCAGCCAGCATCTGCGGGGCAGTGTCCACTCAGCGGAGGGCCTGGGGCTCAGCAGGTGGCCAGCGAGGTCGGGACCCTGAGAGACCTAACACTGCCCCACTAGGGGCTCCCCTGGTTCCTTCACAAATGTGTTATTTAGATTCGAAAGGGGGAGCCCCAACTTATAGCAAGATGGCTATAAGGACTCTGGCCTCCCTGCACCCCTGGGGCAGAGCCACAGACACCCCCGGGCTGCTGCCCCAGCCCATGTGTTCCCTCCTGAGTCCCTTGTGCTGTCTCTACTCCCTCTCAGGACACCAGAGATGGGGCACTCACGAATTTCTTGCCATGTTTGTACGTGTTGTTCCCCAGCTGACAGTGGCTGTCATTGGGGGTCAGGCTAGTGCCCAGCTTCCTGTCACCCGCAAAGTGGAGGCCATTGTCCGTGGCGAACACCAGCAGCCGCGTGACGTTACGCCAGCCGATTTCCTCCTGAGAAGAAGACGGAGGGATTACCTGCCTCGGTTTCCCCCCCGGGGCCCTCACAGAAGTGGAGGAGACAAGGCAGAGCTCAGCATGGCGGCCTCAAGGTGGCGCTGTGCCCGCCCCATCATGGGTTTTCTGGGAGCAGGACCCAAGCCGGGACCAGCTTCTGGACTCGGGGTCCCCGTGTCCAGCCTGGATTCCAGCGCCCCGGGGATGCCCAAGAAATGTCTGTAGGACGACAGCTTCCCAAGACCCCGGTGAATGTTGGGGCGCTGAGGGGAGTAGAAATGCACGTTTCAGTTTAAACATACATCCTCTGTGGCCCGATCAGTTCAGACCTGGGAGTAAAGCCTAAGGACACATGCCCACAGGAGGAAAGGACGCGCTCACAGACATGCTTATGACAACGTAAAAACACCACCAACACAGAAGAGGACAGAGCCTAAGGGACACTGGCACTGGGGAGAGGAGCCCACCAGGACACGTTAGCAACACCCATGTCACACACCGTGATGTCACACGAGAATGAGTGTGTGTCTGTGATACAAGGACAAGCTGCCCAGGCCCCGCGGAGAAGCTGGCAGGTTGGAGTCTGCTTTGTGAAGGTGGCAGCACTGCATGGTTTCAAAAGCGGGGTAGATGGTACTGTCACCTTCCCATCACAATGCAGAGGGTGGGGCAGGTCCCGGCTGGACTACGCAGGCGAGGGGTCAGCACGGGGGCCGGGGGATGGCCACTGGGGCGAGGGGCAGGCCAGACGCCATCACTTAATCACACAACATGTGGGAGACAGGTGAGGACGCCCCCTCTTCCCTGAGGGGCGCCGGGGGTAGAGGGTGCTTCTGCTCCAGGAACCCCCAGGCTCCGGCTGCTCAGTGGTCTTGCTTTACAAGATCACTTGCTTATATTTAGGCTTGAAAAGATCTGCCCAGGGTGACAGCTAATAGTGAAATCTGTGGGTGATTGGTGGGGCCAGGAATGGGGGTGCTTCTTGCCCAGGCCCAGGGTCCCGGGGGGCCAGCTCAAGTCCTGAAGAGGATCCGCTGGCCGGTGAATGTGGCCCCGCGGCTGCAGGATGGAGGCCCCCAGGTTTGGGGAAACCCAGGGACGGCAGCCAGGACAGGGGCCTTACCGGGCAGGCGGCCACTTGCATCAGGGCGTCCAGCCCACCCTCAGGGGCATCCAGGTTTCCAGAGATCAGCTGCTTCCGGACCTCTGTCTGGAACTGTTTGGTGTTGTCAGTGAGCTTCAGCACGTGCCTGAAGGCAAATGGGGGCTGGCACTCCTTCTCCTCGTCGCGGCACGGGTTCCTCAGCTTCTCGGGGTGCGTGTTGACGAAGGGGAGCACCGTCTTGTCCACAAAGGACCCGAAGCCTGAGGGTTGGGGGGATGAGAGGGAGAGACCTCGGTTTCCTTCCCCCATACCAGGGCAGGGGAGAAAGCCAGATGACCCGCATGTGCATCCACGTGTGTGCACACGTGTGATCAAGTATGTATGTGAATGTGTGCATACGGTGTGTGAGCATGAGTTCAGGGGTCTCCGTGTGTGTGCGTGTGTCCCTGCACATAGAGACAACAGCTCAGAAGGAGGCAGAGGTGGGAGTGAGACATGTGTGTGTCCCTTACACACTCATGTGTCCAACTTGCAGTTTGTGAATGAGTCTGCTTGTCAAGTGCTGACCCCCTCAACCCGGCAGAAGGGGCAGTGTGGGTTTGCTGCGATTATTGCTTTGATAGTATCCTCACTGCGTAGTCTGTATAGTTTTGTGGTCTTTAATTTTTTGATATGTGGAGTTATTGTCTTTTAAACATATCAAAGAACAAACAAAAGGAGACGAAAGGAAAGGAGAGGAAGTGGAGGGGCCGGATGGTGTCCACAGTGTCAGGGGAGCCAGTGGCCAGTGCTGGCCCTGGCGAGGATGCCCCCGGGGACACTGTGTCTAGAGCCAGCAGTGCCCTGCCCCTCGGGACTGGGTGGGTAGAGGTGTGTGGGCAGCAGGGCCGGCCAGGATTCAGGGTAGGACTGAGCAGGTCAGCCTCACCGATGCGGCCAGACTTGGTGATTTCATTGAGGGCCTGGAGCAGGTCACCTCCCAGCTTCTTCACGTTGATGAGGTCGTCGAGCATGGAGTAGGACAGGTCCATGAGGTAGTACAGGTCGATGGGGTGGCCCTCAACCCGCCGGAAAGTCACATTGAATGCAGCTGCCTGACCTGCCGGCAAAGACGGCAGAGAGTGAGGGATCAAGTCAGTTTGGGCAACGCTGATTTAAATGGTTACTCAGGTTTCTTGGCTGCACGACTTCTCAGAGCCTTTACTCTGCCAAGAGCACCTGGCCTTCTGAGATGGGGTAGAATAGTGTTTTCCAGATGGTTTGTTCTCCCTTTTGAAGGACACAGAGAACACAGGGAAAAAGAGACACTGGACACACAGGCAGGACAGCAGGAGCCGGGGGCATCCTCCTAGGGCAGAGAGGAGGGGGCTGTGGGGGAGCTCAGACTTTGGTCTCGAGGTTCCCAGCAGTCCTGGGCCTCCCCTGGCCTACCTTGCTGTCTGACCTGGACACATGGACACATGCCCATCGGGCAGCCCTGGCACCCCAGAGCACGGCTGTGCTCCTGCCCAGAGCCCCGCCCACAACAACAGACATGCAGGGGCCACTCACCCCCAGTGGAGGCCAAGCCTACCTGGTCTCAGGTAGAGTGTCACTTTCTGTGGGGACAGCTGCTTCTGGCCCCCCACTAGGTCATCCTGGGTATCGGCGAGACTCCTGGGGTCCATGATGTCATCAGGGGCACAGCCTTTCATTAGCAGTTGCTCCCGTGTGTCACATCGGTGGGACTCAGGCTCCCCTCGCCCAGTGAAGTTCTGGGGGGAGTTGGATCAGGAGGAACACAGAGAAAATGGGGGGCTCGACACTGTGGGTGCTGCACGAGGCTGCCGCTCCTCATTTGCACCCAGGGTTCAAGACACAAGTCACTGTGTGGATTGGGTGAGGGCTCTAGACAGCCAGCCAGGAAGCCACCCGCCTCCTGTTGGGACGGCCTCCCCACAGCAGAGCCCAGGGAGCAGGCAGCTTCCTCCTCATGGCCTCCAGCAGCAGAAACAATGCAAGAAGGACTGTCTCCAGCCCCAGGCTGACCCACAGAGGGGAACAGAACCCTCAGAAGGCCCCGGAGCCAGGACCAGCCTCGGCATCACCTGGCATCTGGCCCGGGCTTTTCAAGCCCTTCATCAGCAGAACCTGTGTCTGCGGGAGCAGCTCTCTCCACCAGGGGAACGTGTGTGTCCACTCTCAGTCTGTGTGCCAGCCCTGAGGCCACCTGGGGCCCCCCAGGAATCTTGGAACCGAGGCCAGGGCTCTGGGCCAAGGCCCTCGCAGTTCAGAGGGAACCAGCCAGAGGTGCGTGGGGGTCCTGGTCCAGGATGCTGTCCTCGTGACCACTTTGTCCCCCATGAAGACCCCCGGATTCCGATGCGACAGGGAAAGAGAAGGGGCAGGTTCCACGGTCCTGACCCTGGGCCAGAGCCTGCTGCGTCCCAGGGAGGGCGTGCTAAGAATACGGGTGGCTGAAAAGCACAGCTACACGTCTCTGCTTCCTTTCACAGAGGGAGACTAGGGAAGAGTAACCCAGACACGCAGGAGGCTGGCTAGGTGCAGGGGCCACGGGGCCCGCGAGGGGGCACACCTCCTGAGCTGCCTCTGCATTGTCTTCCCTTTTGGAACGATGAATGCTGTAAGTCCTCGAGAGACAAAATTAAATCAACAGAATGGAGAAGGGACAACCCGTATACTGTAATCCACAGAGAAACCAACAAGCCCTGGTATTTCAGGTGAGTGTGATGAGCTCAGGAAGGGAAGGGTTGAGAAAAATGAATGAGAAAAAATAATGATGTGTGTGGGTGTGTTTCCAAGAAGACCTGCAGGGTAGAACCTGAGGAGCCCTCAGGGGAGGGGGTGTGGTCAAGCTCTGTGGTCCCTGGGTAAGGGGCTGTTGTCAGGACCTGGGGATCCCCCAGGGGAGGAGGGCATGCTCAGGATCTGGGGTCACCCAGGGGAGGAGGTCGTGGTCGGGATCTGGGGTCTCCAGGACAGGGGAGCTTGGTCGGGATCTGAGGCCCCAGGGGATTGGGCCTTCCCCAGGAGGAGGGTGTCCTGGGACAGGGCTGTGACTCAGGGACCCAGGAGTCCCCTGCGCCCTGGCTCTCTTGGGGCCTCGGCCCCTCCTCCCAGGGGGCCTCCAGGAAAACACAAAGAAACTGAAGGCAACAGGGAGTTAGGGCCCCAGTAGGGACCCTCTCAGCCTTCCCTGTGCTCCGAGAGCTGGACTTTCTCTCACTTCCCTAAGGGCCTGGGCTGCGGGGCACAGGGGCTTGCAGCTGGCACTCCCGCAGCGTCTCTTCCTGCCTCTCTGCTCAGGGATCCTGCCTCCTGCCTCCAGGGGCCCATGGGCGCAGCGCCTGGCCGGACCCAGCACAGCCACACGCACGGGTCCACCTCCCCCAGGCTGCCCTGGCACGGGCCGTGTGTCTGTCTCAGATTCCTGTGGACTCCGGGCTCCTGCCCCGCTAGACGACGCAGTGGTGAGGCTCCTGGGTGCCAGCAGTTTCAGAGGCAGAGAAAGGGGGTCCAGCCCGGGAGGTGGGAAGGCGGAAAGGGCAGGCCAGGCGCGAGGACCCTCGGGCCGCTGACGCCATCCAAGGTGGCTCTTACCAGCTTCTGACACCAGGTGCAGCCGGGCCCCGACTCTATGCAGTCCCGGCACGTGCTGACCTTGTATGTGGTGCACTCCTGGGAGAGGGCTGGGGAGACGAGACAGGCCCCGTGAGCCGCGGCCTGCAGCGCTGGCCGACCCCACGCAGAGAGCCGGCAGCCACCTGGGGGCTGGGACAGTGGACGGCGGGTGACTGGACGAGCAAGCCCGCAGGCAGGGTGGGTGGAGGAGAGTCAGCAGGGTGACCAGGAAGGATGGGAGGAAGCCAGGGAGCACGTCTCTGCCAGGCTACTCCTCCTGGGGACCTCCAGGACAGGGGGACCTCCACGTCAGCCCCAAATGGAGGGGCAGAGTGTGGGGAGACAGGCCTGCGTGTGGGACCGTCTCCCCGGGGCACAGTCTTTCCTGAGCTGCCCCGGGAACCTCGGTCCAGGAGGATGGGAGGGTGGGCCCCGTTCTTTCTGACCCAGAATATTCCACAGAACTCACCGGACCTGAGGGAGAGCAGACCCACCAGGGTGAGCAGCAGGGAGCGCTGGCACAGCATGTCCTGTGGAGGAAAGAGGTCTTGATGACAGGGCCTCGGACCCCGGACTCTTGTGGCGGATCACCCGTGGAGCTGAGGTCCTCTGCGCCCGTCTGGAGATGCAGAGCAGGGAGGGCCCTGTCCCCGCTGCCAGGGGGCGTTTAGCTAGGGGGGAAGCCAACACGGGTCAGTCCCTCTGACTGCCCTGCAAGAGGGCCGCGCTGCCAGCAGGAAAGGAGGCCTTAGTGGGGCAGTGTGGGCTGCCACCCCTGCTGAGCCCAGCCGGCCTCCAAGGACGAGCAGGGAGTGGGCCTTCTGCCAGTGACACTCGTGTGTGCACACGCATGTGCACACCACACAGACACACACACACAGACACGTCTTACCGGTTCTGTCTCTCTGGAGAACTCTGACTACTACAGATGCCTAGAGAAGTGCCCCAGGTCCAGGGAAAGCAGCTAGAGGCGTTTTTTAACAACACATGGGAGCCCAGGTGGGTGGGCAAAGCCATGGTGCCTGATCTCCATATTCTGGGGGCAGTGAGGGCACTTCTGCACCTGTTTCTCTCCCCCCTCATCAGAACCGTGCAGTGGGGGCTCACACTCCCCCCCGAGCCCGCATGTCTCCCTTCTCAGAGCTGAGGTGTGTGTGGATGTCTGTGCTGAGCAGGGGACCCACTTGAGGGCTCATGCAGAAACCGGGGCCTGCTGGCTGCCTAACTCCCCAGGCCCTGCTACCTGAGTACTGGGAGGGTGAGCAGCCTGGACACCCTCAGCCTTCAGAGGAGGGGACCCTGGGCCAAACAGGGAGGCCTGCCCGGGCCACAGGTTGGGCAGCTCTGGGACTGGGTTGCCTCACCACAAGTGTGCCCACCATGTCACCATGACGCCCCTCACCAATGGTGGAAGTGACTGGAAACCACTAGCCCTGTCAAGGACTCCCACTCCACTAACAGGCTGCCCTGCCTGGGAGAAGGCCCTGGAGAAAAGGGGCTGGAGGGGCTCTTTCCTGCCCTGAGGAGCACAGAGCAGCCCCAGCCCTCATCTTCCGGCCCCTGGCCTGGCCTGGTAGGGCTCTGACTCATCCAGCTGCTGTGGCTGAACACCAGCTCCTGCAAGCCTGACTGTGTGTGAAGCCCACGGGTGGAGACGAGGCCTGGTCTTAGCGCCCAGGGCAGGTGACAGGCAGCCAGCATTGCAGACCAGCAGGGTCTCGAGATCACGGGGCCCACTGGGACTCAGGCTCCCAGCCCCTGCCCAGTTGCTTGCTTCCATTCCGAGCGGGTTTCAGCAGATGCCTTCGATGGGGGCCTCAGCTCCCCAGTCAGGCAGAGACTGGGATGAGATGACGAGAACACCAACATTCCTGTCTTAGGTCAACTTTGTGCAAAGGAAACAGACAGTTACCACAGTGAGCATCCTGGTTCTGGCCTGCCTGGTAGGCATCACCCGACATCACCAAGAGACTGCCCAGTGCCCCAGGGAGAGCTCTTGGAATTGGGAGTTCTTAGCATGGTCTGGAATTGTAATGGTTTTTCCGTAGAAGCTTTGTTTTAAATAAGTCCATCTTAGGTGGCACACTTAAAAGAGAGGATTCTAAACCTCTCAGGAGACAATGGAATACATTCTTGATTGGCATACAGAGGTTTCTAAAAGACAAAATGACTCAAATACAGCTCTGAAAGGATCCTCACAGCATCCAAATAAAAATCACTAGTAAACCTCTTTGGTGGTCCAAACAAGTAACCTTAGTAACCTTAACTTAGTCCAACTGTCAGAAATACAATTTGGATCCAACTATTCCTTTGAGCTTCATACTTGAGACATGGCTAAAAAGTTTTTTACAAGGCCATGAGATCTCTCTCTGTGCCTGTCTGTATGTTATGCATGTCTATGCTGTAGAAATGTGATAGTTTTCTACCTCCAGATGGTATTGCTAAAATTGATTTGTAGAAGAGCTCTATTTTATTGACTTAAAAATAAAAGCACTTATATGAGTTGAAAAACAATAGAAACTAATCCAAATGCTTTTCAGGGTTACATGATCTAGGATTAATCTTTAGTAAATAAAACCTACCTTAATGTTGTAAGTTTAATTGAAACATACATATCTTTAGAGTTATCAATGCTGAATATAACAGAGACATACAATTTTCATTCTACCTGGGTTTACTAAGTTCATGTTATCTCTGTTACAAAATTTGTCAGCAAGAAAACAAATAACATAATGGCTAACTGCTTTAATGTCACATGAAGTTTTTGTGAGTAATCTAAACATAATTGTTGGGAACAAATGACTTAGGCAGATGAAAATGGGTAAGAGTTTGGGGGGGCAATAATTATGTTTTATGATGTGTATGCTTGAAAAAATACTTCCAAAATCTTTTTTGGTAACTTGAAACTTGAGAGTTTTGCTAAGTTAAATTACATGATGGAATTTCATTGAATATCTGGATCATTTTCCAAACAAGATAAAATACTAAAACATTAATTACCAAACATAGGTTATCTACTTTTGGTTTCCTATTGCAGGAAAACTAAAGATAAAATTAGGCCTGTTAGTAAACATGTCTTGTGCCACATTAAAAGATTGTATTATGAGAAATATACTGTTCTGGGAATTATGAAATGCATCCTAAATTTTCCAATCTAAAGAATGCAGGCATAACAGGCAGTTCCCAACTGCTTACTTCTTAGTTAAGGTTTGTAAGGGTTAAGAATTCGAATTAATATATATAATAATAAATGAAACATCTCCATACGCAAGGAAAGTAGGATGTGTGTTTTGGTAATGTGTTTCCATTGAGGAAAGGAAATACATTTTGTGGAGGGAAAAGAAAATAATTTTGTCCTAAAGAGAGGCTGGTTATTTCAGAATGGGAAAGAGGAAAATATAGGACAAAATCTGAACATAGGAAGAAAGTTGTAGAAGGTTCATGGAGAGGAATCTTGGCAAAGGAGTTTTATGCGTGGTCAGGACTGGCTAAGATTGGAATGAATGAGTTTTAATATCAGAAATAAGCTGAGGCAAAATTTAAATTTGGCTTTCTTTTTTGTTAAAAGGACAAGGATTTCGTGGGCTATTTGTCTGTTTTTGATAACAGATTGTGAAAGCTTCTTTACCTTTTAAGTAATCTGCCTAGAAAAGTGAGATTTTGTGTTTAATCAAAATAATTTCCTTTGTTTTTTTTAACCAGGTCTTTAATTACTTAGGAAAATGGAGCCTTAATATTAAATGAGTTCAGTTTTGCTTATAACTATGTAACCTTTTGTATTTGCCTTGAAATTTTGTATATAGATAATAGATATAATGTTATCATTATACTTCTAGTTACTATCTAAAAATGTATGTCACAAAACTACCCAAATTTCCTTGTCATTTGCATTATAATGAACCCTCATCTGATCCTTACTCATTGCCTTTTTAAAAGTCTGTTGTCAGTTACAAATAGTTAGTTTTTTTACTCTGATGCTTTTACAAATATATTTCATCTCCAACGAGTTTCAGGGAAAATCATTGACAAGTATTCTGGAATACACGTTTTTGATAGTTTTAAGATCATAACACTGAATTGGGTAAGAATTTCTAAAACTCTAATGGAAAGCTGACCACTTTAATGTTTTGTTTCCCAGCTGTAAAGGACCCCCCTTTTCTCCTCTCAGTTAAGCTATGTATAACTTACAGCAATTTGGTAAAGTGTATCTTTGCAACAAGTGTTGCAACATTTATCTCTTTTCTCCATGTCTGATCTCTCTAGAATTCAGAAACGTTTAACTATTCTTTTCACGACAATTCATATATCTGAGCGAATATGATGGGAGTCTTTTCCTTTATAAAAGGACCCAATTGCACATATTGGGTAATATTACCAAGTCTGTGACTGGATTATCATATGCAAGAGAGATGGACGTAGGCTCAGAGATGACCAGAGGGCTTTAAGGAACTCTTGGAATAATCAGCCTAGTAGATTGCTTACAAGGTTCCAGCAAAGCAATCTTAAAAAATAAAATAAAATAAAAACAGCTTCCCTGGTCAGTCATTATTCTTGCTGCATTTATATGAATAATCAGGCCAAGTTTAATATAAACCAATTAGTTTTACTCTGATTATATTTAATAAAATGAGGGTAATTGTGGAGAGAGAAATTATGTTTGCACGTTTGTAGATATTAAATTCTAGTCCTATTAATTGTCTTTAAGCTTAGTTATATACCTGTAAGCTGGACTGGAGCCTAAATTCTTCTAGTTTGCTTAAATATCTGGCTACGATTCTCCAAAGTGATGTTTCCAATTTTACTGCCCTTGAAATCTCCTTGGAAGGGACTGTACCAGGCCCTCCTCACTACCCAGATGGCACTCAAACATCAGGGACTCGAGCCTTGGGTACACAACTCACAGGAGGAGAAGGCTGCGCCGGACATCCGGTCCTGCACAGACTCTGGAGACTCCAGATCAGATAGACCCGGGAGAGAGGCAGCCGACATCTGAGGCACACGCTTTCCCAAGACGACTGGACCAGGCCTGTGTACCCTCTTCCCACTGTTGTTTCTTACTTTATTTTCTCCTTCTCTTTCCTGGAAGGACAACGTCCTTGTCTGCATTTCCCAATTCCTTGTGAAAGGAGGAAACCTCTCTGATTGTTGGGTTTGCCATCAGAAACCTCGGTCTGTGCAAGACGGTAATGACCCCTTAGTCCACCCTATGAGCAATTTCACTCAGATTCCAAATGCCAGTGTCTGTGTAAAACGTTCTGTGGGCCTGTTTTATAGAATCAGGGTGCTAAGCCCACCTAAACTCGTTCCTTGATTTAACTTAACTTAACCTTGGGAGGGGAAAACAAGATCCTTTGAATATTTGCATAAAAGTTCTGTGGGACTGCCTGTGTAACCCCAGCCATTTATAAATTTTTGGATATACCCATATATGCAGGCAACCTCTCAGTATGTAACAACACATTGTCTGAGCCTTGGTCACATAATGCTAACGCCTCTATACCAATGAACAGGCCCATAGATGTTATCACTCATGCGGGAGCCTTGTGTATACCCCCTGCGTACACCTTCATGTGTGGGAGTTTTGGTAATGTCCTTCATGCTTGGGCAACTCACAGCCTTGGCAGCTGGAGAGTACAAAGACAGTGTGCCTTTGCTGTATTCACTGTCCTGCTTTCTGTTCAGAACCAAGCAGAGGCCTCTCATTGGTCTGTCCCATAACACCTCTATAACCTTCTTAAACGAGAACTCCCAGGAGGCACATGTGACTCTGGGTTTGCCTCTGTGGGAAGAGCTTTTTTCCATGGATCAGAGTGACTGCCCATGAAGAAACGATCAGGGAAGAGTTGGCCAACTCCACAGCCAAGGCAGTTTCAGCTCAGCAATGGTCACTTACTTAACTCATTGGCCAAGGTAGTTTTGGGTAATGGTATAGCCCTTGATTATCAACTTCTTGAGCAAGGAGGTGTCTGTGCAATAGCAAACACCTCCTGTTGCACATGGATAAATGCCTCTGGGGATGTAGAGACCCAGTTGCAGAAAATTAGAGAGCAGGCACGTTGGCTACAACAAATTTCACCTAACAATCCACTGTATTTTGACTTGTCCAGCTGGTCACCTTCAAGTCTGGACTCCTGGTTTAGAAGCATCCTGCAAACTAGGCTTATCGTATTGCTTTTAAGCCTACTCTGTGTAAAAATGATGTACCCAATAAGGTGATGCTAGTTCAGCGTTTGGAGATGATTTCCCACACTTATGACCTTGACGAGTTATATATGGGAAATGCCTGAGAGTTCTCCTCTAACCTTCCTTGTTACTCATGTGCCCAAATGGTTTCTCACCACTGTGCACTTTCCCTCCAACGTGGGATACGACAAGCAGGAAAGGTCCTTCCTGGCACCCAGGGACAAATCGCTAGGCACTGAGAACTTAACTGTTGGTCAGTGATGCTGTTGGAGAAAGATCTTGATCAAAAGGGAAAAATGTGACAATTCATAAAAGAAACCTCAATTAAATCGGAGTGGGGAAGGCCTGTAGGGGGAGCTCTCGCACTGTATCATACATGGGCAATTACACCAAGAGGAAGAGACGGATGCTTGCATCTCCCAGAGGAAGGTGTTTGCTACTTTCCTACCCAGCAGGAGGAAGGAAGATTTCTCTCCTCGCCTGGCAACAGCCCAGCTAATGGGAGACTGTAACAATCCCACCAATGAGAAGCCTCTATACTTTGGACTCCCAGTTTCTTCCAATGGACCCTTTGTTTATTGCAGCCCCTCCCAACTCTCCCTCCTTCTCTATAAAAGCAGCTCCCGTCCTTGTTCTGGGTAGTTGCCTATGGTGCCCTCAGAGCAGGCATGTCTCAAATTGCAATTCCTCTGCTAGTCCTGAATAAACTTGTTTTGTGGGTAAAACAACTGGTCAATTTGCTTTTTTAGTTGACCACTGTAACCTCACAGAAACCCCAAACGGGCCCCACCGAGCTAGTCCAGCCCTCAGTCACCTGCCTCAGGTCACCTGGAGGTCAGGTGTCCACAGAGTAAGGCTCTGTGGCCCTGCTCAGGAAGGGGTACTGAGGTGGGCTTGGCCACTGCCAGTCTGGGCCCTTGGCCTCGGGACCTCCTGCAGGAAAGGGACACCCTCGTACTTCCACGAATGCTGTAGGGTGCGCAGGGGTGGGGGTGCCTGGGGCACAAGTCCTGGAGACTCAGCAGTGGCAGGCTTTGGACACTGGTGGAGGCAGGGGACCCTTCATTGTAGACTGGCCGGGGCACTGGTGGACCTCCCAGAGGTCTCTCAGCAGATCTTCTCTGCTGATTCCCCAGTATCTGGCTTCCTGCTCACACAGACACTGTGCCCTCAGCGAGGGGAGGGCTCGCTCTCCCTCCCCCATCACAGCTGCCCCTCTTCCTCCCGCCCAGGGGTCCCCAGTGCCCTCAAAGGGAGCTCCAGGCACAGCCTCAACCAGTGGGTGTAGGGACCCTGGCCGGGGTCAGCAGTGTGGGATCCCACCCCTCAGTCAGGGGAAGAGGACAGGGGTTGGGTGCCAGGGGGAAGTGGAGACGGGGGATGGAGGAGGGTGTGGCAGTGTCCAGTGGGATCAAGGTGGACCCCAGGGTCCAGTCCCCCACTCCCAGGAGACCTTGGGACAGGCCTCCAGGAGCCTGGTTGTGGGAGGTTCAGGTCGCGCACCTAATGTCTGTCCCCCTAAAACTCAACTGTCACCCAGAACTTTCACATCGTTAGACTGGAAGTTGTGAGCCTTCTAGAATCCGAGAGAAGTGACAGACTCACCACCAGGAGAATGTACTATGTACACACACACACTCACAGACACATACTCACACTCACACAGACTCTGCTGGAGGATGGACCAACACAGTTGACTCTGGAGGCATGAAGACAGGAGGGGACTGACTCAGGCAGGAAGAGGAAGGTGCAGCTGGGGAGGTCCCAGGAGCCCTCCTGCTCAGCCCTGGCTGCTCCCGGCCTGACACACCATCCAGGGAGTCCTGCCTACCCACCCCTCCCAGGGGCTCAGCAAGTGTCTGCAGCTTCTCAGGAGCCCCTAGACGTGGGAGCCAAGGCCTGGGGTCTGTGCTGTGTCCTCCCACCCTGCTGGGACCTGTTGCCCTCGGTTAGAGATGCACCCATGGCTCCATGCGATTTTGCCTACAGCAGGCACAGCACTCTCACTCACTGGATCTCAGTAAAAGGCGGCCTGGAGTGGACAGTCCCCAGGCGGGTGACATGGACCAGGGCCATCAGGATCCCCTCCAGGGCTGGGCCACTTGGAGCTGCTTCCCTTGGGAGATGCAGCAGCCACTCCCCGGGGAAGAGCTCCAGGTCTGAACCATTCCGCTTTAGAAGAACAAGCCTGGATGCAGAGGAGCCTCTGTCCACTCACCCCACTTGATGCCCTGGAAACCTCGGCAGGGGTGACCCGGCTGGGCTGGGAGGGGCTTCAGTTCCACTCTACCAGGCTGGTGCTGTGGCCCGTCTGGGAAGACACTGGGCAGCCAGAGACTCTGATGCTGAGCGTACGAAACTTTCTGTTGTAAGTCAGCAATTCGGAGGAAGTAGTTACATGAGGCTGATTGCACCAAATGTGGTCCATCAACCCCAGCCCCTCTGCTCTACCGGGGCTCCCGAGGGGGGGAGGTCAGAGGAACAACCACATGAGTGAGAAGGGGACACACCATTCATCACCCACGTTCACAGCCAGAGGCACAACAGTGTGGAGGGAGGAATAACTATTGGGAACAAGGGCTTATTGTGGCCCAGAGGGGCTCACCCACAGGCCCACCCACAGGGCACAGAGAACCACGGAGGGCAGTGCCCAGGGGCATGACTTGCACCTCAGGAGACACCAGCCTGCAGACTGGCACACGGGAGAGGTGAGTGCACCCACCAAAGGAGACGCAACAGGCATTGTGGATTCAAATGCTGATCAGGGAAATGGAAAAGAACTACCCGGACTAAAGAGCAGAATGATAAAAGACGACAGCGAATCAGAGAGAGGATGAGGATCAGCTCAGGGCACAAAGACGTGGGAAAGAGGAAGACACATTCAGATGCATGGATGCCAACATCCACAGACCACAGGACTTCCAGGAGGAGAGAAGAGGGAACCGAGAGGAGGAGCTACGGAGGAGCTACTCAAACAACAGAATAAAAGATCCAGATCTGAAAGACAGGACTTAGATTAAGAGGCCCCTGCATACTCTGGGGAGGAAGAAAAAAGGTCCTGTAACCAGGTCCCTTCTGATGCTACCACAGAACATAAAAGATAGCAAGAAAATACTAGAGGTTCTGAGAGAGAGGGAAAGAGACAGAGACACAGAGAGAGACAAAGAGAGAGAGAGGAGATACGGCCTGGGAACTCACAGATTAAGAGATTTAAGAGACTTATCAACCAACCCCAATGCATGGACCATATGATATTAAGAAATTACTGTTAATTTTTTTATGTGTGATAAAGGTGTAGTGATTACGCTAAGGAGCCGCCATCCTTTAGAGTTATGTGTTGCAATGTTTAAAGATGACATGATATGACATTTCAGATCTGCTTCCAAATAATCAGGGGTGGGGTGGGCTGGGGGGAGAGTGCATTGAGGTATAAATAAAACAAGATTGGCTAAGAGTTAGTAATGTTGAAGCAGATGTTGGGGACATATGGGGTCATTAAACTATTCCACCCACTTCTGTATATGTGTGAAATCTTCTGTAGTAAAAAATTTTTTAACTCTAAAAAGAAATGTCAAGTTGTTTAATGGGGATAGAGTTTCAGTTTAACAAGATGAAAAACTTCAGAGATGGCTGCACACAATGTGAATATACTTAACAACACTGTACACTTAAAAATGATAGAGATAAATGGTTCAATTTATGTCATGTGTATTTTACCACAATTAAAAAGAAAAAAAAGTTTAAAAAATGCTAAACTGTTAAAGCAAATAAACTGTTAAAAGAGACACTGATGAGAGTGATGTCAGCAACATGGAGGAGTGAGCTGTTCTCTTTATCTCTTCCCATTTGCACTGCAACTAAATGGACATTTTTGACCACCAGCACATACGCACATAGCACAACAGGATGCCTGAGAGACCCACGCATCTATACATCTAAAGGTGGATGGACTGGGACCCAGGAAGTGATGAAGATAGGTGAGCATTCCCATATGCTTCTCCAGGAGCACTGTGTGCATGCGTGAATGCTTTCCCAGCTGGCACACACACCCATAGTGCCACTGCAGCCCCAAAAGTGGGAATGCACCTTGGAGGGACTGTAAGAAGAGGTGGCTGCAGCCCTGAGCCCACGTGAACCCTTTCCCAGCTGGTGGGAGCACCCGCCATACCCTTACAACTTCCAGCTGACAGGGTAGGATCAGAAACACAGCTCCTACATCCCCCCAGTGGTAGCAGGTGGAATCCGAGACCTGATACTACCACAAATGTGTTGGCATAAGATTAGTTCATCAAGCTCCATGAGAAACTATAGCAACAATTCAGAGCAGAAGGAAAATGACAAATCTCCAGAAATGAACCCTGAAGTCACAGAAATTTACAATCCAAATAACATAGAATTCAAAATAGCTGTCATAAAGAAACTCAACAAGTTACAAGAAAACTCAGAAAGACAGTTCAATGAGCTCAGGAATAAAATTAATGAGAAGAAGGAATACTTCGCCAAAGAGATTGAAACTATTAAAAAAAAAACAACCAAGCAGAAATTCTGGATATGAAGAACACAATTAATGAGATAAAAAAATAATCAAGATTCCTTAAAATATAGAGATGACATTATGGAGGAAAGAACTGGTGATTTAGAGGATAGAAATATAGAAATGCTTCAAGTGGAGGAGGAGAGAGAACTAAGATTTTTTTTTTAATGAAAGAATTCTTTGAGAAATATCTGACACATAAGGATTATAGGTATTCCAGAGGGAGAAGAGAGGGAAAAAAGAGCAGAGAGCTTGTTCAATAATAGCTGAGAACTCCCCAAACCTGGGGAAGAAACCAGACTTACAAATACATGAAGCCAATAGAATTCCTAATTACATCAATGCTAAAAGACCTTCTCCAAGGCCTATAATAGTAAAACTGGCAAAAGTCAATGACACAGAAAAAATATTAAGGGCAGCAAAGCAGAAGAAAATAACCTACAAAGGAACCTCTACCAGGCTTTCAGTGGATTTCTCAGCATAAACCTTACAGGCTAGGAGAGAATGGAACAATATGTTCAAAATACTGAAAGGCAAAAATGTTCAGCCAAGAATACTCTACCCAGTGAAACTATCCTTCAGATATGATGGAGAAATAAAAGCTTTCTCAGATAAACAAAAGCTGAGGGAGTTCATTGCCACTAGACTTCCCTACAAGAAATGATCAAGGATGCCCTCATATCTGAAACAAAAAGGCAAAGGTCTACAAAGCCTTGAGCAAGGAGGTAAATAGACAGAAAAAATCAGAAAACTGCAGCTCTCTTTCAGAACAGGGTTTCAAATACTTAATTATCACTTAAAAGATAGAGGGAAGGAAAGCATCAAAAGTAACTGTAAGCACTTCAACTTAGTCACAAACTCACAACACAAAACAGAATAATTTGTGACAACAGTAACTGAAGGGGAACAGGAAAGGGTTGGAACTTGCTTAGGCTACTGGAGATAAGAGGCTATCAGAAAATGGACTATCTCATCTACGGGATCTTCTATACAAACCTCACAGTAACCACTAAACAAAAAGTCAGAGCAGAGCCAAAATTCATTAAAAAGAGGAAACCTCCACAGAAAACCACCAAAATGAAATGGCAGTCAGAAATACAAAGGAAGAGGAACAATGGAAATATAGAACAACTGGAAAACAAGAGATAAAATGGCAGTATTAAGCCCTCATATATCAATAATCACTCTAAATGTAAATCGATTGAATTCTCCAATCAACAGACACAGAGTGGTGGGGTGGATTAGAAAACAATACCCAACAATATGCTGCCTCCAGGAAACACATCTAAGCTCTAAAGAAAAACATAGACTCAGAGTGAAGGGTTGGAAAACAATACTCCAAGCAAATGGCAAACAAAAGAAAGCTGGTGTTTTGCTTACTTATATCAGACAAAGCAGACTTCAAGGTAAAAAAGATAATGAGAGACAAAGAGGAGCAGTGTATAATGATAAAAGGGATATTCCAACAAGAGGACATAACACTTATGAATATATATGCACCTAACACAGGAACATCAAAGTATATAAAGCAACCATAAACAGACCTAAAGTGAGAAATTAACAGCAACACAATAATAGTAGGGGACCTCAACACCCCACTTGCATCAAGGATAGATCATCCAGATGGAAAGTCAACAAGGAAATAGTGGGTTTAAATGAAACACTAGACAAGATGGACTTAATAGATATATAGAAAGCATTCCATCCAAAAACAGCAGAATACACATTCTTCTCAAGTGCACACGGAACATTCTCACAGATAGACTATATGTTGGGAAACAAGGGAAGTCTCAATAAATTTAAGAAGATTGAAATTATATCTAGCATCTTTTCCAACCCCAAGACTGTGAAACTAGAAATCAACTACAAGAAAAAAGCTGGGAAAATCACAAATATGTGGAGACTAAACAACATGCTACTGAACAACCATTGGATCAATGAATAAATCAAAGAGAAAATAAAAATTACCTGAAGACAAATGAAAATGAAAATACAACATACCAACTCTTATGGGATGAAGGAAAAGTGGTTATAAGAGGGAAATTCATAGCAATACAGGCCCACCTTAACAAACAAGAAAAATTTCAAGTGAGTAATCTTAAACTACATCTAACAGAACTAGAAAAAGAAAACAAACAAAGCCCTTTTGACAAACAAAGTCAGCAGAAGGAGGGAAATAATTAAAATTAGAGCAGAAATAAATGAAATAGAGACAAAAAATGGGAGAAAGAATCAATGAAACTAAGAGCTGGTTCTTTGAGAAAATAAACAAAATTGACCAACTCTTAGCCAGACGCATTAAGAAAAAAAGAGAGAAGGCTCAAATAAATAAAATTAGAAATGAAAGAGGAGAAATTACAACAGATATCACAGAAATACAAAGGATTATAAGAGAATAATATGAAAAACTATATGCCCACAAATTGGATAACCTAGAGTAAACAGATAAATTCTTAGACTCATACAACCTCCCAAAACTGAATCAAGAAGAAATAGAGAATCTGAATAGACCAATCACAAGTAAAGAGATCAAAACAGCAATCAAAAACGTCCCCAAAAACAAAAGTCCAGGACCAGATGGCTTCTTTGGAGAATTCTATCAAACATTCAAAGAAGATTTAACACCTATCCTTCTCAAACTATTCCAAAAAATTGAAGAAGATGGAATACTTCCTAACTCATTCTATGAGGC